CGGGAGAAAATGCTTTACTCCAATGGTTTGTTTATTTACAAAACATCTAGGGTATTTATAGCATTTTAGATGGCCTTGTACTTCCAGAAACTTCTAGAACACTGCTAAACATAGTAGCAGTATCGGTAATCATTCAATCAAATACATGACATATGATTTTTGATTTTCTAGATGGTTCTGGTAAAAGTTTTGTTGAGTGCTGATAGGATGAGATGCTTCTAAACGTATTCAGAGCCTTGTTTTTGGGTTTTATTTTTCGAGATCATCCAGCAGGCTCAAATAATACATTTGTAACGTTTTATGCTTTGAATAAATGAACAGAGTTCTCACTTTCTTGATGTTGAAATGACAAGGAAACACGATAGAACTCTGAGAAGATTAATCTATAGGAAACTCTTGGAGGACGGCTAGCTACTAAGTTTTTACATCTGGCTCCCCATTAGTCCGAAGTGAAACTTAATTATATGTTTCGCCATTCGGATACCAAGAATTTGTAATCTATAGGACATGGATAACGAATTGAGCCTGCTTAAAAAATTACTTATCGAAAACGGGTACATTTGGTTATTTAATGACAAGAATATAAAACTTAAACCGCACAGAGCTCAGGTAACCTCCGTATTGAAGAAAACTCTTTAGATGATAATCGATTTCTATGGTGATATAGCTACAGGCATCTTGAAGAAAATATTTTTTGACTCTCTCAATAGAACGTTCGTCGCAGCAACTTCGAGATTTGTAATCTCCAGCAGATCATTGTTCGCCAATAATCTTACGAGTAGATGATCTCATTTGACCAATTCTATGTGCATTTATCAATTACCTGTTCATGTGGGCCAGGTATATAAGTTGTTTGACGTGCATATAATCCAAAAAAATTTTAGAACATTACCTGGCTTGTATAAAAATGAGGGCGAAATGGTTTCATAAAAGCACCTTGTGAATACAGGTCATTCTTCATTTGAATTCATCTACAGGGCAGAAAAAAAGCTATCAAATGGCAGTTATATTCCATCTTCCAAGTATTGCTGAAACACTAACAAAACATGTGGTATACTGTATCCGAAATAAATTAGTATGAACTCTTCTTCTAGCATGATCTTAATCTCGTAATTTTTCTCTTCATACTTTTCTTCTCTCATCATCATCATCATCTACTTTCGTTCTATCGTCTCTGTAGACTTTTACTCTCTGACTGATTAGTTTCTGTTTCTATGCTACTCCTGATTACAGTTCATCTCAATTTCAATATAGTCTATATTCATTGCATAAAGGACTCATAGAACTAAATTACTCTCACACAAATCATCATGAATGAATCTAACTTAACGACTCCAAACTGTTGATTATGTATAATGTATTGTTTTAATAATATTGGTTTGTGGTTTGTAATGGGATTCAAAACGACCGTTTTGTTCCATTTGTGACAAATAAACTAGATGTAAATATCTGAATTCTATAAGAGGTAAATTGTGGCCTGGGTAGCGCTTTGGTAATGTCTTTGAGTATGAGATCGTGTGACTCGGGTTCGAATCTATCAAGGAGAGTCACTTCCATGAAAACCTCAGGTGCGTCTTGATGACGTAATTCAACCGCGACTAAATCTAGGTTAATCAGGATTTCCTACCAACTATTGCCACTTATATATCATCACTTTACATAGTTACTGAGTTCTACCAGTCTTTATTGTATAAGAATTTGGTTCTTTGTTACGGATTTTGATTAATGAGTCAGGATCCAGTTGTCTACATTCACTGTATAATGGTTTTCATTATTTTCAGTTCTATTGACTCTATGTCATTCATCATTCTATTAAAGTTATTTGACGCTAACATTACTGATTACTTACTTACTTACTTAATTACACCTGTTACTCCTCGTGAAGGAGCATAGGCCACTCAACATCACCGATTGATTTTAGTTAAATAAACACTGAAGATCAAGAGGATCTGGTCAACCATAATTTTATCTCAATATAGTGCACACAATGTCAATTCACCTAGACTAGTGGCTACATTGTAACGTGGTCGATAAGATTCGATCTGTACTAAGAAGGATCTGATATGCATAACATTGATCATCACCCCATATGGTCAATCAATTGTGACTCTTTAACAATGTATATTTATGTTCTAACCAAGTTATGAATTTATGAATTCAAGAACATACGACTAATTGAGTTGTTATGCAATGGTTTACATTTCCAACTTCAATCAGTCAATCAATCTAACTTATGTTTATTTCATAATTAGTAACTGGGTGGATTTCTATTATTACTATTACTATTAATTGAACTTATAACTGTATAATTGACTGTTCTAAGGCCATATATATGCTGAATTATTATAAATAATGACAATAAACTGAATGATTACATGGTCATACTATCATTTATGAACGACTTTGAGAGATGTTAAAGTGATATTGAGAGTGTCCACCTAATAACTAGGACTAAATGACAGTTATAAACCAATGTGAGGAATTAGAATTATGATTTATAATTGATGATTAAGGTTACATTTAGGGTTTTCATCACAAACTGACATCAATTATAATGCCAAAATGTTATTTGGCCAAATAGATGAATGAATTTCGCGCCAAAATCCAAGACTCATTATCTTAAATCTGATTGGTTCGTTCATAAATTATAGTCTCATCGAAGGTAAGATAGGTTAATTATAATGTCGATAGATTAGAGTAACACAATAGCTGGGATTTTACATCAACTATAACATTGTGAATGTTATAACTGAACATAAGTTGATATGACAAGATACAAACTTGAAATTATAAATGACTAGATGGAGATTTATTATGAATAAGAACTAGGTTAGACATTATATCTAAATGGTGACTGGCGAAACTTTAATTTATAGACGAGCCAATCAGGAGCGTTTGAGAGAGTTCAAGGTCACGGCGCCAAATTCAGTGCCTGATGCTAACGAACGATCGGTTCATAAGAGATTTTGTGCAAAACGTGATAATTGAGTGGCTACAACAAATAAAACGGCGAGACTATAGTTTGTGAACGAATCAATCAGGTATAAGATAACAGATCTCGGATTTAAGCGCGAAAGCCTCTCTTCCATTTGGCTAAATAGATTTGTGGCATTATAGCTAATTTCAGTTCGTGATGAAAACCCTATATCTAATTCCTAACTGAGGCAAATTATGATAATTATTGCGAACTAGATAATAAAAGCACTAGTAACACTGGTTGCAGCCAGGTACTACAATATATACGGATGATTGGAGAGCGTAGAGACTTCTACATAGACTTGATTATATGCATCTTGTCGTTATCTACAAGTGTCATTTTGCGTACTCAACAACCAGAGTGCACACAGACAATACTGAAGCTAGATATTAACACTGTTGGATGCCGGCTCAGTAATTTATAGATTAAGCGTTTACGCACGAAACAGAAGATTTTGGTTTTGCATCCCGTGTGCCTCGCTGAGGATCCTCATATATGGACGAAATGGTCGTCCAGTGCTTCCAGGTTCACAATGGTGGTATAACATCAATCGATTCATGATCTCAATCAAAAACTGAACAATCTCCATAACCTTTCACTGATGATTATCAGTTTGACTGTGGTTCTTGTCTTTATTCTCTATAGCTTAACTAAGTAAATAATTTGGAAAAAAACAGATCTTAATATGAACATCTTGTAGGGAATGTTGAGTTTAGTGGTCAAATTCATGGATTGATTTTGTTTATGCAACCAGTGAAGATCACGATACCCTATGGAAAAATATCCCAAATGCTTAATCATTGGTCAAAAGTTTAAGTACTTAACATGAGAGCCAAAGGTGTTGAATCAGTTCTGTAGTGCGGACTTACATATGCACTACTGTGGAATTCCGTACTAGCAAGAAGAATTTACCTAGCGCTCCGGGGTATTCGCAGACATAAAGGAGAGGATCGGGAAAGCAAAGACAGCGTTCCTATACTTGAACAACATATAGAACTCAAAACAACTTTCAACCAATATCAAAGTCACAATATTCAATACGAACATCAAGACAGATATACTGTACAAAGCTGAAACTTGGAGAACTACTACAATCATCATCAAAAAACCCATCAGAAGGGGTTTGTGGAGATTTTAGAAATTTCACAGATTGAAATCATGAGTCAATTGAAGCTAGACCATTATGGAAAACCTGGAAGCACTGGACGGCCGTTTCGTCCCAGAACGGGACTCCTAGACGGTGCGGACTCACGACCCCGCACCCTGCGAGACTCGAACCCCGGACCTATCAGTCTCACGCCAGACGCTTAGCCAACTAGAACATTGAGCTGGTCGGCATCCAACGGTGTTAATGTTTAACTTCAACTAATCCACGAAATACATAGTTGTCTACGCAAGACATTCAACATCCATTGGTTGGATAAAATCAGCAACAGCCTACTATGGGAGATGACAAACCAGCTTCGAATTGAAGAGGAAATTAGGAAACGACATTGGAAGTGGACAGAACATACATTACCAAAATCACTAAACTGCATCACGAGGCAAGCCCTAACTTAGACTCCTGAAGGGAAACAGAAAAGTAGAAGGCCAAAGTACACATTACGTTGGGAAATAGAAGCAGATATGAATAGAATGAATAACAACAGGAAAGAACCGCAAAGGATCGCCTATGACAAGGCGGCCTATGTTCCTTCCCGAGGAGTAAGAGGTATAAGTAAGTAAGTAAGTAAATAAATAAGTCCCCGGTTGTCAATTACCTTCTACTGAAGAACAGTTAGTAGTTTAATTTCATATGAGGTTAGTGTCAATATTGTGTTCATTCATTAAGCTAATGTGCAAGATTGAATCATACTCTTACTTGTTTAGATTAAACAATTCAATGAACTATAGATCGACATACTTCTAAGATTCATCTTCAAGTCCATCCATTTAACCTTTTTTTGTTACTTTATATTCTTACAATAATGTCCAAGACCATCTTCTGAACTTCATCTTTTACATTCTTTTTTTCTATACTTAGATAAATCTGAACCCCCTATAACAACTGACGAATCAATCAATAATCATATTGTACCCATTGATAATGAAACGATTAAACTACGTTCACATATATCTATCTTAGAACCAGCACCATCTAATTATGAATTACCTAAACCATTATCTATGTCACCTACAATGAATATTTCATCAAATTCAATTAAACCAACATTAGATCCATCTACATTTACTAAACAACTGATTATTAATAAATCAACATTAGATGATAATCATATTGCTCAACCTGTTGATAGTATAGCACGTGAATTAGCTAGAAGTCATACTAAACCAGCAACATGGAAAGATTTATATTGGTCATTAATTGGTAAACGTAATCTAATCAATGATGAATTAAAAGTTAAAGCATTATTTTCATGGTTATGTTCAATACCAGTTGGTTCCATACCATTTTTAACTTATGATGAATTACAACAAGCTGAACAAGATGATATACAATATGCAAAAGAAGCTTTAAAGAATAAATCGAAAAAATTAAAATTAGATTCACCAGAATTTATATTAAATGAAATGTCATATGGTAAAGCAACATATCTTCAAGTAAGTGATTTTGTTCATCTTTGCTAAATTCACATTGCCCTCAAATGCCCTGATACGGCCAAAAGTGAGGAGAGTCAGCTCCCATTCTCGAAATGCTGTCACATGCCAGGGAAGTCCTACTCACTGCCTTCTCGTGGAATTAATGTTGTTTACGAAGTCTAGAGGACAAAAAGCGAATATCCGGCGCTTCAACGGGTACATGGATATGGATGGTCCACCTAGGAGAGTTGAAAAACTCTCATTTCGAACCAATGATATAAATGGGCTCCAGTATCCTGCGGAAACAAATGGCGTATGAACCAATCGTTGGTCACCGGTTACCATGGGAATACATCTCCTTACGATGCTCCACTGCCCTATGGATCAGACCTTCAAATCGAAGGCTCCGAGTGTGGCCTCCTAAGAACACCACCTACTTCGGTTTGGGCACCCGGGCAGTACCACAGCCCTCACACATATCAAATGAGATTTGTGTGTCGCATATGTATTTGTTGCCCCCTTGCACCAATATCTACGTGTTAAAATAATATAATAATAAGTAAAGGATAATGATTTGCGTATGAAATTGAGGCTTTTCATATAGTCTTAGTTTCCTGTCTGTGAAAAGTTGAACGGTTCAGGCCATAGGAACACGATAATGACTAAGCTAAAAAGCAAAACACAATATATGCTAATCCATTGAGATTATGTTGCAGTGAAGAAGAATACAAGTAGGGACAATCGAATGTAATTGAATATAAAATTACAAAGCATCATAGTAAAATCTGAGAATGATACAGTAAGTACTTCATTTGCAAAAAAATATCAATCAATTGTCCCAGACTTCATTGTTCTTTCAGTTCCAGACCACTCACTCCTTTTTTTGTTATCATTCTCTTCTCTTTAATCTTATTAACCTTCTACCTTCAAGCATTTTACTTACGATTGATGATATATACTATTTATTATTTATTTATTTTAACACATAGATATTGGTACAAGAGGGCACCAAATACATATGCGACACACAAATCTCATTTGATATGTGTGAGGGCTGTGATACTGCCGGGTGCCCAAACCGAAGCAGGTGGTTTTCTTAGGGGCCACACCTGAGCCTTCGATTTAAAGGTCTAATACATAGGGCAGTGGAGCATCGTAAGGAGATGCATTCCCATGGTAGCCGGTGACCAACGATTGGTTCACACGCCATTTGTTCCCTAAAGATACTGGAGCCCATGTACACCAGTGGTTTGAAATGACGGTTTTCCAACTCCCCTAGATGGATTCTCTATATCCACCATCCCGGTTAAAGCACCGGACATTCGCTTTTCGTCCTCTCGATTTCGTAAACAACATTAATTCCACGAGAAGGCAGTGAGTAGGACTTCCTTGGCAGAGGCTATATGCGCGTGACCATGTAGAGAGCATTTGGTGAGGGTGAAAGGACTCTCTCCACTCTCGGTCGTACCAGGGTATTTGGAGGCAGTAGCACACATTGCAATATCACTATGTATACAGAATTTGTTTCCATGAATACGATTTACTTAATTAAATAATCATTCATTTACTTCTTCTTCTTTTGAAAGGCTTTTGAATCATTATGTCATTATTCAAATATACCATGTGTAACAGTGAAAGGTTTAGCTAAAGGTGTTGATTATGTAGTTGGTATGCGTTTAAATGATATAAATGATCAATTACAACAACAACAATCATCATCAATTATGCATCGATTACAACATGCATGGAATGCTGCTTATTTAGATAATAAATGGGCATTATTTGATCCAATGTGGGCAGCGCAACGTTTAGCTGTTAGTGCTAATACACGTTTATCTCAATTAGTACAAACTGGTCAAATGGATTATGAAACAGATATGTTTTATTTTAATGTTGATCCAGCTAAATTTATTTATTCACATTATCCATTTGATGAAAATTGGCAAATGTTAAAACCACCAGTTACATTAAAAGTAAGTATGTGTGTTTTGTTGTTTTTCTTTTCTTTTTCGATTATCTCTTTTCTTTTCTATTATTTTCTCTTTTCTACTCTTTTTCTTTCCTTTTCTTTCTTTTCTTTTCTGTTTTCTCTCCGACCCTTTTTCTTTTCTATTCTTTTCTCTTTTCTACTCTTCTCTTTTCCTTTTCACTTTTCTCTCCTCTTCTCTTTTCTGCTCTTTTTCCCTCTTTTCTTTTTACTCCTTTCTTTTCTTTATTCTTTTCTTTTCAATTCGTTTTCCTTAGTTTCTACTGTTTTCTATTCTTTTCTCTTTTCTTTTTTCCCTTTTCACTTTTCTCTCCTCTTCTCTTTTCTGCTCTTTTCTTTTTACTCTTTTCCCTTTTCTTTTCTTTATTCTTTTCTTTTCAATTCCTCTTCCTTTGTTTTCTGCTCTTTCTATTCTATTCCTTTTTCTTTTCTTCCTTCTTTCTTTTCCACTTTTTTCTATTCTTTTTCTTTTCCTTTCTACTCTTTTTCTTTTCTCTTTTCTGTTCTTTTTCCTTTTTTTACCCTCTTGCCCCTTCTTTTTTCTTTTCTATGCATTTCTCTTTTTTCTTTCTTTTCTCGTGTTTTTCTTTTCTTTTCTTTTTTTCCTTTTGAGTCGAAATGTACTTGAAATTGATTACAGTTTCATATTCCAAAAAAAACTGATTTCAATTGAACTATCATGTTTGAACAAAATCTGTTCAACATACACATAGCTGAACTAAGATGTTTGAGAATACAATGAATATGAAAAACACTGGAATTTAGATGTATTCAGTTTGACAGTTAATCGCCCTCATACCTCTAGTAGCATTCAAGATTGACAAGATGTATTCAATTGATAGGTCCCAAAAATATACATCTTGGATTTCATTTACGATATAATGCGTTAGGCTAGAGTATGATTTAAAGAAGAACCAGTCAGGTATAAGATAATAGAACTTGGATTTTGGTGCGAAATTCATTTATCCATTTGAATAAATAGTTTTGACATTATAGCAAATGTGTCGGTTCGTGATGAAAACCTTAACTTCAACTCTTAAGCCGAATCATCAGCTGGAAACACTGGTTTATAGTCCTCATTTGATCCTAGATATTAAGTGGACACTTTTAAGGTCAGTCTAGCATCATTCATTATAGTCTCACCATGTGGTAAATAACAGAATCCAACTATTGATTATGATGAGTTTTATTGACCTATTGGTTGTACGAAAACATAGACGGTATAACAAGTTTGTCTTATCAACAGAAAAGGGGTTTTGTAGAGGTTGTAGTAATTTTTACTAGTTGAATTCATGAGTCAATTAAGGCTAAACCATCAAAGAAAACCTGGACGACTGTCTAAAGGCTAGGCGTTCGCTCGTGAGACCTAAGATCTTGAGTACGAATCCCACAAGCGGGATCGTAGATGTGCACTGTTGAGATGTCCCAAACTAAGACGAAACAACCGTTCAATGCTTCCAGGTTTTCAATAGTGATCTAAGTCACATCGATTCATATATTTAACTATTAAAATATTCGATAAAATAATTTTTCGTAGACCAAAGTACACAAATAAAGGAATATTCTAAATGAAAGAATCGTTCGTTCATTTGCATTATATGTCGCATATCTTTTTTGTTAATCTTCCATCCGTTTATGACGTAACTGTGAAAAAAGAAAAGATGAAAGTGCGAAACTCTCCGTCATTACTTTCAAATATCTTATATGCGTCTATGGGCATGTTTCTTTGTGTATCATAATAATGAGGATAGTTGAAAGAAATGTAAGTGTGAACAACCTTTGTTGCAATTCACTTTGTGTTGTTTGCTTGTATCTACAATTAATTAGTCTCTATTAGCATGTGTGCATCCTGTACGGATTGCCTTGATATCGTCTTAAATCATAAGCCTTATAAGCGAAGATGGATAGTGTTCAGCTGTGGAATCCAGGACAAAACGCGTTTCATCCTATTATTGTACTCGTTAACTGGACGTACCTGAATCTCAGGGTTGATGATCATTCTGGCGTTCGAACACAGTACCAGTCGCTTTAAACACTACCGCTTAGCTACTGAGTTCTGATAGCCACTTGCTTGTGCAATCGGGTGAATCTTTCTTCATATTACATAATTCCATACTCACCAATTTGTAATAATGTTTTGTTTTTTTTTAAACTACTGAAATACTGTAATAGTAGTTTATACCAAAGACATCAAATGTTTGGTGTGTGTGTTTTTTTTTAATCTAGGAATTTGAAAACAGTGTTCTATTGAAACCAGCTTTCTTCCGTCATGGTCTTGGATTACTGTCACATCAAGATTGTGTTATACTTGCACCAAATAAACTTGTTATAAAATTATCCATGCCAAAAACTTTAACAGATACATTGAAGTTTACATTCAATTTAAAATATGAAGGGAAGGATGATAATCTAGATGTAAGAATATGAGCTTATTCATTTACATATATTTATTTATATTATTTCCTTGTATAAAAGGTTGCTTCTTTCTTAACATTTCTACAGATGATACTTTATGCATGTCAGTCAATCAATCAGTCGGACCAGGCACATCTATACATCGGTCCAACTTGTCATACTTCATTAGCACAACAAGATGAACACCGGATTCATAGAAGTAGTTCGTTCAATGGTAGCAGTATATATAAAAGAAAGATTGCATATAAGGATATAGTGCGGGAAGGAAGAATTCGTTTGTAGAAAGAAAGATATGAGGCGATTTTAATCTCATAGTTTAAGCGAAGATAAAGAGTGTATACACATGGCTTAAATTGAAAAAGAAATATTTGCCTTTGTTGCATATCGATCTACTTCAACATCATCCAAGTTGATTCAAGCAGACTTGAGATAATAATCTTGTCGGCATTTAACTATCTATATGGAGGTTTGTGGAGATTGTTGATCATAAACCAAAGTAAGAAAACCACTGCAAATCTGGGAGTACTTGATAGCTGTTTCATCTCCTGGGTAATGCGCTTCCATGACTTCACCAGGGATCAAACCTAAGGCCTTTAGATATCGCTACGATAACTTAACGTTTAGACTAGTGAGCCTCTACTCGGTAGTGTACATGTTCAACCTCAGTCAATTCGCAACATTACGTAACCATCTCCCATTGTCTTCAATGAGTGCCTCGTACACAACACGTCTGAAATCTATTGGTCATTACTTTTCATTGAAGCTCAGTAAATATCTTTTCAGAGTTAGTTACTAGTAAGAACATGGTAATGACCAGTATAGAGATGGTTACACGTTTCTAATACGTTATACATTAACAGGGTACATTGGTCACATGTTATAACGATTGGTGACGTAGTGAAAAACAAAGAACCATGGGTACAAAATCACAAGTTATAACAGTTACTTAATTTCGTATCGATCTCTTCTTCATGTTATGACCTATTTCAACTTGTTTTTCTTCTTATAATTTCAATAAAGTTGCCAAATCTAAGTCAGTTTGGAATACATGAATTATCAAGACGTGATGCAACGGTTACATTTCATTTTCGTTTCCCAAAACCTGGAGGTTATAAGCTTACTTTATATGCACAACGTATTGGTGAAAAGGTAAGCTTGAAAAAAACAATTGTGAATAGGAATCTATATCTATGTATTATTTATCAAAAATCAAACATACTTTACTTATTTACGACTGTCACCATTGATGGAGGAGCATAGACCACCCATCAGCATTCTCCATCCAACATTGTCCTGGGTAGTCCTTCCCAGTTCTTTCCAGTTGTTATGTGTTCTTTTCATGTCGGCTTCGAATTAACGACATAGTGTATTATTTCGCCTTTCTCTTCTCTCTTTCCATTCAAGATTCAAAGTTAGCGCTTGCTTCGTGATGCAATTTGTTGATTTCTATAATGCTTTGTCCTATCCACCTCCAACATCTTTTGTTAATTTCCTCTTCAGCTCTAAGCTTGTTTCTTCTCTATCCCACAGTAGGTTGTTGTTGATGGTATCCAGTAAACGGATGTTGAGTATCTTGCGTAGATAATTGTTCATAAATACTTGTATCTTCTTGACAGTAGTTGTAGTAGTTCTCCAAGTTTCAACTCCGTACAGTAGAACTGTCTTGACGTTCGTATTGTGATAAGTCTTGTTAATTGGACGCTATATTCGGTTCCTAAGCTATTCTCATAACCCCCAAGCTAGAACTACACAGTGACCTGAACACGAAAGAAAAGGCGTAAAATATGCAAGAAGCACTTTACTCCAAAGGTTAGTTTTAGTACAGAAAGTATAGGGTTTTTTATAGTATTTCAGATGTTCCTCGGTTTCCCAAAGATTCTTGAATGCTACTAAACATAGTAGCAGTATAGTAATTAACCATCAGAAATTCTACACGTGACAACTACTGAATCTTATGAATGAAGATATTTTCATTTGTTGAAATTAATTATCGTTAAGGGCTAAAATCAAATCGTTAGTTTGATTTATTTTGAGATTGTCTAAGAATAATCATTCTCGATCATATACAAGTTATTGTAATCAATAACTACAGAATCAAGTGGTTTTCTTAGAGGGCCACACTCGGAGGCTTCAATCTAATGGTCTGATCTACAAGGCAGTGAAGCAACGTCAAAAGATTCAGTCTCATGGTAGCTTGTGACTAACAATAGGTTCATACACCTTTTGTTTCGTCAGGATCCTGAAGCCCATGTGCACCATTAGTTTGGAATAAGGGTTTTTGAACTCCCTTAGATGGATCTTCCATGTCCACCAACTCGATTAAACCGTAGACAACACCGCCGATGTGAGAAGGCAGCAAGTAGGATTTCCCTGTCAGTGGCTGTTAACGCATGGTCATGTATTTCGAGAGACAGAGGGAGAGTGTGTGTGTGCGGATTCTCCCCACCATCGATCGTAACAGGGCATTTGAGGGGCTAGTCACTAGTAAGTACATGATTATTACTTAAATAGTTCGTTAATTAATATTTATATCCCTTGATTGATTGATTGATTTATTCTTATAAACATTAGTTATTTGCAGATATATGTGAATATCGTGTAGAATCAAAAATGAGTACCGATTTACAACAAACAGAACCGGTTGTTATGGATACTACTACTACTACTACTACTGTAATAATAATAATAATGATACTTCAAAACCAGCTCTTACAATTCTACCGTTTCCTCCAACATCACAAGGACATTATGGTCCAGCTGAAAAAGCTAAAGAATTAGATATTATTACTATACCAGAAGATTTAGAAACTCACTTAAATTGTCATACTGGAATATTAGAAATTAAATTTACAACTAAAGATCCAGTAAGTAATGTTTGTCACTATTGTTGTTGTTGTTAGTATTTTATTCATTCTGTTTTTAATCAATTTACTAGTTGAATTCATGAGTCAATTGAGGTTAGATCAACATGGAAAACTTGGGAGCACTGGATGGCCGTTTCGTCCTATTGAGCAGTACGCATCCATGATCCTGCCTCATGAGATTTAAACCCATTACACGAACGCCTAACTTCTATAGGATGGCGTGATTTCGTGGATTGTTTGAGGTTTGACGGCTCAGTGATCGGAAGGTTAAGCGTTCGCGCATGAAACGGATAGATCCTAGGTTCGATTCCTGCGAGTGGATTGTAAATGCGCACTGCTGAGAAGTCCTATATTAGGACGAAATGACATTCCAGTACTTCTAGGTTGTCCATGGTGATCTTGCTTCAATTGACTCATGAATTCAACTATTAGATTACTATGATATCTACGAAAACCTCTTTCTGATTTTAATTAATTATACCTTTTTTCATAGAATGATTTTAATTATACACTGGTTGTACATCAGGGAACACTAGACAGCCATATTTCCCAAGTTTGAAGCTCTATAGTGGTATCCATCTACCATTCCATAATGATTGGTAATAAGTCAATTTTAATCAATATAAATAACTATCTATTTTTGTACTCAGTTAACACAACTATGAATGTAGATAGTCTGTCATATTTTCTTCTCATGGTTTATTCGGGATTTGAGTGTCATAGTTATTTGATAAGGGAACGATGTTTTCTACTACTATTTTGTTCTGTGTTAAACGAAGCAATTTATATAAGAGTGTTGATAAAAACCTAAAGATTTCAATAGTTGAAATCATGAGTCAATTGAAGCTAGACCACCATGGAAAACCTGGAAGCACTAGACGACTGTTTCATTCTACTGTGGGACTCCTCAATAATGCGCATCCACAACCCCGCCACGTGAGGTTCGAGTCCAGGACCTATCAGTCTCGCGCGCGATCGTGAATGCGCACTGCTGAGGAGTCTTATAGTAGGACTAAAGGGCCTTTAGTGGTTTCAGATGATCTAGCTTCAATTGACTCATGATTCCAACTATTTAAATTACTATAATATCCACATAACCCCTTCTGATAAAAATCTGGAGAGTTTGACGTTTTAATATGTTATACTTTCATCTTTATTTCCCCTGTTCATTGCTTTCAGCAACGCAAGCTTCCACGTTTAACTGCACGTTTAAAATCATCAATTCATGAAACATCAATGCTTACGGACTGTATACTATTGCGTAATATTGAAGCAACATCACCGGGTAGTTTAAATTCTGCAACAAATCGTTTATCTGGTACACAAACTATACAAGGATCACGTATTAATATGATAATATTGACAGCATATTTACCAACAGGTGGTGAATATGCATTAGAAGTTTATGGTGCACCAGCTGATTCAGATGAGAATACTTCATATTTCTTGGTAAGGTTATTTGAGTATTCATTTGTGATTTATTTAACTGTATAGTAGTCTTGATTTGTCATTATTGAGAGGTTTCAAATTAGCAGGAAAGAGTTATCCAATTACTTTTTGTTTTACTCAGTGGTCTTGAGTGTTGTTAGAGGTATGGGGGCGGTTATCGCTTCTTGGTTTCACACACCGTGGAAAGGTTCTTCTGGAGGTACATGAAAAAAGGAAATTGGAGTAGAGGTGGTCTTAGTGACCTGAAAGCGTGACCGCATTGCACAAGGGACAACTGCTTGAGGTCGGTCAAACACGACCTTTTCATGAGTAATTTTCGTGTTAGCTCTGTTATGACTTTATGTCCGGCTAATTATCACGTGATCTATCCACCAATCAAAATACGACTTATACTGTCTTAGCACTGTCCCAAACCAATGACGTTCGACCGGTATGAGCAGCCTGGTGTCCTTATTGGTCCTATGTCCGCCTAGTCCGTCCACTTGAGTCCAGAACACCAATACCAGCTTCCGCTATGCGAATCGAATCGAATCATTTATTTCAGATATACTGAGCTTATATATCAACCAAACAAACCACAACCCACCATAAAACAGGAAAAGTAACATTTGTATACAATAAAGCCAAAAATTGGCTGTGAATTTGAGAGACAGTAGTCAATAAACAGAACATAGTTTAAGAACAGTAAATCGTACAATAATAATATATAGGTCAAAATAAAGCTTATAACAAGGGAAATATAGATATACATTATCTAGTTACTGAATATTTATACCACAAGAATATATAGATAATATTAATCAATTAATAGTCTCAGAAGTTACTCATGATCTAAACTTTGCTCGGATCTAACAAGCTCTGTACGGATATCCGTAAGATAAGGCGAGGTGTGCATTTTAGGGTCGACCTTTTCTAACCTCAATCCTCCTTGTGGAAAGACAGAATCGCTGTCATACTGGTTGTCTGAATGAAACACCTTACTGCCTCCACATCTCTGTAAAGTCAGCAGTACAATTTCGCCTTCGGACCTTGGGTTTATTGCTTTTAGTCTTACCGCTCTTGAAGCGAACTATCTGGCGTTGTAGGACCTTCAGGAACGATTGTTGCAGCCAGTATAGCTCTGTTGCTTCATCACGATAGGCAAGCGAGACCACCACGTCAAGGTAGCAACAACAGTCGAATTTGTTTTATTTATATCTTCCTATTGTTATTTAGGACTGCAACTGACCAGTCCCATGTTGGTATATATGCATCCTGTGAGGATTGCCTCGATATAGCCTTAAGTCATAAACTTTTTAAGCAAAGATGGATAGTAGCTATCAGTAAATAAAGCAAAGAATAGTGAATTTGACAGTTCAGTGTGGGACAGATAGTTGTATGTCAAATAGAACGAAACGTGGGTCCTGAATTCTACTGCTAGCCACTATTCATCTTTGATTAAGAATATTGAAAGTTTATGCATTGTAACGGTAAACAAATCCCCAAAATCAATAGCTCTGTAAATCTTCAAAATTTGATGCTGATCACATTTGTTTTAATGAACTCACCTAGCTGAAAGTGCTTGGTCACACATCCGCACTAGATCGTAAGTGAGTACACTGTACTCATTTACTCCTACAACCGCTAGCTAGCTTAGATCAATCACTTCTCAATATACCAATAGTCTATCTTTATATATTTTTGAATCCCTTCTCTTCTAACTTCTAATTTCACTGGGTTGTCACATTTCCATTATACAAGATGTTAATAGTTGAGGTGCCGTCAAACTTCAAATGCATATGGCATCTTTTTTAGTTGAATAGTTTAAGTGGGCAGTATTTATTTATCTCTAAGCTACCAATCTTCTTCATTATTGAAAGAACTGACTGTTTTTGTAGGATGTAAGTATGTATTCTTAAATGATAAAACTAGTAACTTACCATTTGTTCTCTGTCATTTTCAGACTATTTGTTAGCTTACAATAGTCGACATAATGTCTACGTAATTGTTATTTAACCAATACGTTATGGTCCTTAAAAGACTAGTATTTTAGTGTTGTTGAATTTCACTCTCCACGATTGGGTTTCAGTCGATTATAGTTTTCAACTACTTATAAGTAGTATAAAATATACAACAAAAGTTCGTAAATATATCGGGAAGACTATAATTTATGGACGAACCAATCAGAAATAAGATAAGGAGTCACAAATTTGGGCGCGGAATTCATCCATACATTAGGCTTAATAGAGTTTTGACATTATAACTGATGTCAGTTCGTGATGAAAACCCTAAATGTAATTTTTAACCCTAACCATCAACTGTAAATTGGAATTCTAACAGCTTTATAACCCTCATTTAGTTCTAATTATTAGTCGTTCACTCACAAGGTCACTTCAGCGTCGCTCAAAGGTCGTCCATAAATTATAGTCTCACCAATATATCAATCTTGTTTAGAGTTGCTCCCCATGATTTGAAATGTCATTATAACTCCACTTATCGTTTACTATTTCATCTAATTTCTACTTTTTTCTTTAAATAATCTTACAGGTTTGGCAGTTTTTAATCAATTCTGAATATGGAGTTCGATTATCTACTCCAGTTAGAAAACGTTTAGCTACAATGAATCTAGGTCCTCAAGATGAAACATGGTCTACATTAGGTTTAAAATTACTTAGTCATGATGATCCTTTAATTCATGTTCCAACAGCTGGTTCTATTGAATTAAAAAAGACTCGAAGTAAATCAGAAATTATGAGTCAGTATATGAGTCAAGGAGATAAAATAATGAATGGTGTATCTACAAATGATTCATTAATAGTTCCTACAACATCACCAGATCAAACAAATGAAATAGATGATGAAGTACAAGATCCACGTAGTTGTGATTTGAAAATAAGAATTTCCAAAGAATCTCAACAAAAACTTTATGTCGTTGGACAGTTTGTAGATATAAGTACACCAGAGGAAGAGGTAAGTGTTGTCATTTTTATCGGTTCATGTGCCTATTTTTTTTAAAGCAGAAATTAGGTTCTGGAACCAACAACCCAGTTGTAGAAGGGAGAATTACACAGACGGTAATAGGACAAGCGTCAGGACGAATTAATAAGATTTGAGGTTCATAGAGTAGGCTGTTGGTCTTAGATGGATAAATCATGTATTCACTTTTAGTTCAGTTAACCTCATAATAACAGGTGAACATAAGCCTAATAGAAATAAATACAGTAAACTACACTTACTGATCACTGGGACAGTTAAAGATTCCCATACTAGGACGAAACGGCCGTCCATGAATCCAGGTTTTTCATGGTTGTCTAGCTTTAATCAACTCATAAATTCAGCTATAAAATAAATTCACTCTATTTCAAGTCTTCTCATTAGTTGGAAACGGCTTAAGGTTACAATTATTAATATAATTAGAAACATAGAATTGATCTAATTGATTAAATGAATTGAATATGGGTGTACGAATGGGATCAGAAATCATAATGAATATAAGGAGATGAAAGATACTATATTAAATCAATTTCAATTTTGTTTTACTGAGTTCAGGAATCCATTGACATTAGACCGTTATTGAAAGCCTGGAAGCGCTGGATGACTGTTTTGTCCTACTGTAGAACTCTTCAAAAATTGATTTTCATTTATGTCTTGGAAAGAATATAAGGCATGAAACTTACTATCCATATAAAGCGATATAGTTATTAACATAATGATACTAAAATGTATGGATAACTTTCGAGCGATGCCAAATTGACTTTGACAGTGTTTACCTATTTGATAAACTTAAATAAAGGTTATAAAACAGTTTGAAGAATAAAGATGATGATTTACAGTTGATAGTTAAGGTTAAAAATTAGATTTATGGTTTTCATCATGAATTAACATCAGCTAAAATGCCAAGATGCTATTTAGATGAATGAATGAGTGAATTTCGCACTCAAATCCAAGACTCGTTATCTAAAATCTGATTAATTCGTTCAGAAATTATAGTCTCGCTACTAACATCAATGATAAAATACAATAATCGATTGATTCATAATGATATTAGCTACAGTTTAGATAGTAAGTCAGTATACATACAAGTTAGAACTGAGATACTTGATTGAAATTACCTCTTCAAAGTTGTATACTTATCAGTATCCACTCTTATTGCACTCATCTCTCGTTTATTTCAATACATCCATGAACATCAGTTTAAACTTTATTTAATATGATATTATCATATCTAGGGCTTAGATTCTTTATATACCGCTTACAACTTGAGCATTGAAATACAAGAACCTTCTAAGCTGCAATGAAAAGATAGAAGATAAATGAGAAGGAATACTATTCAAAACAGTGTCATTTATGGTATAGAACTGTCAGGTAGTAGTAAATTGAAATATGAAATTATCATTATAGTCATTCAATCTGCATACAGAGAGTTATTAGCATTTGTCTTATAAAGAAGCTATACGTCGAGATTTTGGAATATTCTTCTAGAAAAACAGATGATTGAATGTAAAGTCTTTAGCTCTTCCTGAGCTTATTAAAGCTTCCTTGAGTTCATCTGTGGATCATCTTCAAAGATATCTTTCAAACATTCGTATTGAATTCACTTAATAAATTACATCAACTCTTCATTTTTAGATTGAGATCATGATCCGATTAATGTTAGACCATCATTGAAACTTAAAATCACTAGGCAGATGTTTCGCCCTATTGTAAGACTCATCAACAGTGCGCATCCACAATTCCACCCGCGGGATTCGGACTCAAAATTTATCGGTCTCGTGCTCGAACGCTTAATCTCTAAACTACTGAGTAGACGTCGGACGATGTTAATTATGCTAATGATTGTAATCTTAAGCCCTTTATAGTCTGATAAGAAAATTTAAAATAGACTGAATTATTAACTAATCTTACTTACTTACACCTGTTACTCCTAATAGAGCATAGTCCGCCAACCAGTATTCTCCAACCCATTCTATCCTCCGCTTTCCTTTCTAGTTCTATCCAACTGTTGTTCATTCTTCTCATGTCTGTTTCCATTTCTCGGGTGTTTATATTCTTTAGTCTTCCTCTTCTCCTCATTTGACCTTGATCTTGTGACACAGTTGAGTATCTTAACTAATCTACAATGATTGAAAATCATGAGTCAATTTAAATTAGACCAACATGGAAAACCCGGAAGCACTGGATGGCCGTTTCGTCCTAGCATGGGACTCCTACTCAACCCAGTACCTATCATTCTCGCAAGCGAGCGCTTAACCTCTAGACCACTGAGTCATTTCCCATGGTGGTCTAGCTTCAATCGACTCATGAATTCAATTATTAGTTGGTTAAGCGCCTAGTGCGAGACTGGTAGGTCCTGGGTTCAAATCTCGCAGGGTGCGGGATTGTGAACACGCACTGCTGAGGAATCCCACGCTGGGACGAAACGGACGTCCAGGGCTTCCAGGTTTTCCATGATGGTCTAGCTTCAATTGACTTATGATTTCAATCAGTGAAATTCCTAAAATCTACACAAGCTCCTTCTGATAATAATCTACAAATGAATCAATCAATTATGGTTATCATTTTTATTCTTATTTAGGATTGTACAAATTATCTATTACAACAATGGGATGAAATTGAAGAACCAAATATAAATGAACATTTAACCTATTTTATTCGTATACCAAAAGGTGATCATTTTTATAAATTATATATATATGCAATACCAATTAATAATAATGAATTACCACAATCATTACCATTAGTTTATACATATTTAATTGAAGCACCACCACGTATTATGTCATCTGAAATACCATATATTGGTGTAAAATGGGGTGGATTTCCTGAAAAATTAGAACAACAACAACAACACCACCACCACCACCAACAACAACAAAACCACCACCACCCCCAACAACAACAACAACAACAAATAACTATTACATAATTCTTGAAATCAACTTCTGTTTTTTTTTGTAATTTTTTTCGAGCGCCATTTTAATATTGTAAAAAAAAACAAAACAGTATGGTATTATTTTCTAATAAGTAATGAAATTGGATTCATGTTTTTGTCTTGTTTTAGCAATTTCTTCTTCATTGATTTTATGTCGTTGATTAAATGAATGATGATGATGATAACTTATAAAGACTTTATGCTGCTGTTGTTGTTGTGATTGTTTTTTTTCTTTTTTTTGCTTGTTATTTACTTCATAAGATTATTCAATTGAAAATTCTGTTTTGTTTGTTTCGCTCATCATTGATTATGGTTCATTTGATTGATTGATTGGTTGGCTGGTTGACTGGTTGATTGGTTGATTGATTGATTGATTGATTGATGGATTGATTGATTGAAATGATCCATTTATTAGGTTCCAGCCAAAAAAAAGACAACAAACAAAAAACAATGATCAGATCTTCTTTATATGCTTATTAGGATCATTTGAAGATAAATGCGCTTATAGATATTATGTAATAGTGACTTGTTTTTTTTGTTATTTCAGTGCCTGTTTTTGCAATATGTTCATGTGTAGAATGTTAATGTGATACTTTGTGTGTGTGTGTGTTGAAGTTGTTATTCTTATATGCTTAAAAGTGACTCAATGAATTCATATTCAATTTTGTTGTGTTTTTTTGTTTCTTTGCAATTTATTTCGAAGATGTTAAAACTTATGAGTTTTATACCCTTATCAATAATATAAACGTAATGATATCACCAATTAGTGATACAGTGAATTATCGACTGGATCAATGATGCATAAAACCTATAAGACCGGTCTAGAGTCTTTATCGGTCCCGTTGCCTGCCTGACTTAGCCTGTCGGAATACAGAATACTGATCTCAGGATCTGTGATATGAATCATATATTTCAAACATACTGGGTTTATATACTAGCCAAACAGACCACATCATACCATAAAATAGAAAACAACATTTGTACAAGATCTGACCAAAAGTGTCTGTGAATATGGGAGACTATAACTAATAGACTGGGCATAACTCAAGAACGGTAAATTGTATAATAATAGTCTATAAATCAAAATAATGCTTATGATAAGAGGAACACAAATATGGATAGGTCAGCTGCCCCTTTCAGTTAAACAAGTTGGAGAAGACTAGTAGACTCTTCTGAATAGAAACAGGCCAAATCAAAGCACGGCAAAACTACTGGGGCTAGAATAGCTGTTTTTGCAATCGGTTGGAGTTTTCCCTGTAGGGAGCAACCGCATACTGTAGAACTATGGTCTACTATTATATTAGCACTGCTCTAATAATAGACCTAATCCTAAAATTGTAGATGTGTCATGATATAACTGCCTAATCTATAAGATCTTACGTGGAAGTCACACCATCAACTACACCAACTCACTGTATCGTATCAATTACCAATACATGATGTAGTACAAGGTTAGGCTAGAGAAAGAAACAATGTATTTAATATGAATAGAAGATAGAAGGTAACGTTCAGCAGAGACCACGCCTGCATGGCCGAGCCATGCCACTCGATCAACTCCAGTCCATTCAATTCATTGTTCGCGCCTTCTCCACTGTTAGGTATTTCTCCGCGTTAAATATTGAATATCTCATGTTCACAGCTTTGTGGATTGTGTGGCTATTGTCCAATGCCACTACAATACAATAAATGCACCACTTTTGTAGATTTTTTGTCGTTTTTCGATCCAGGAGAAATTGTGCTGTGATTCTTTGTGGGTATCGGTCGAGTGGGTGATTAGGCTCAATCTCTACCACACGGGTTACTGCTCACGTTAGTCCACGAGACTGAGTCCCACTAGCCAGGAGGCACGATGAAAACGTGTGAGTCGGGTTTCGCCTCCCGAATAGTTTAGTTACTTAGTGTTATACGACAATATATTTACAAATTATTAGTCCAGAAATAGATTCTAACAGTTACCATTCATAAGTCTCATAAGGAACATAAAATTAGGAATGAAATTAAGAAAAAATTTAAGTAAAATCTATAGTCTTGTCATGTTCATGATAACACTTTCTTTGAATGAATGACATACAATGTCGATTCAAGCCAAGTATTCATTTAAAAGATTGATATTAGTCGATAATCTTATAAGAAATGTATTGGTTTTGCAATGTTTTTTCTCCCACGATATCCAATTGTAATCTGCTCTATAAATAATACTATTTGTAATGTTAATTATACTTACATATTTACTTACTTATGCCTGTTACTACCTGTGGAGGAGCATAGGGCGCCTACTAGCATGATCATACGAACACTGTCATCGGCAAACATTTCCAGTCGTTATTCATCCTTTTCATATCTGCTTCCAATTTTCAACGATGTGAGTTCAACCTTTCTTATTTACGTGTCTCTTCAGGACAGCTTGCTTCGTGATGGAGTTTGGTGGTTTTCATAATATATGTCCTATCCACCTCCAACGTCTTTTTCTAATTCTCTCTTTAGCTGGAAGTTGGTTTGTTCTCTCCTCAAGTAGGCTGTCGCTGATGGTAATTATGGTATCCGTAAAATAACCTAATATAATAACTGCATACTGAAAAAAAGCGATAACATTATGTTATTAAAAATTGTTATTATTATTATCAGCTTTATTCAATATTATATTTTTGGTACAATATAGAATTCTCAGTGTAAAGTATTTCAACAAGTTTCCGTTTCTTTCTTCTCGGTCGGTCCTGGCGATAACTATTGAGTGATCGCCAGTTAGATGTTAACAGTCCAGTAAATGAACATCTGAATAATGTGCAGTCTTTCCGTTGTATATTGCCAGCAACCACATTGTCTCTTATTGAGTTTTTTGTAACTTTGACAGCGAAAGGTTGTACACTTTTCAGAAACGCAGCAGAATAGGTTATGCGATTAATAAACATAATGATATATTAAGACAAACAAAAATAGATAACTTGTTGAAATACCTAGATGGCAGGAACAGGTAGCTCAGATGATCAAGCAGGCCGCCCTTGCCTTAATGCTTAACAATGTATGATGACTTAGATAAAATTTATCAACTAAAACAGAACTTAAGATCTAGATAAATTCTCTTTCAGTAGAAGAAAACATCAACATAGAACAAAGGTTCGTTTCGATGATCAAGCATTCTTTAATAGTAATGAGTCTGATTTCATAATTTCGTCCATTATCTCTGAAGACTAACTACATATAAAACCAATGACTTGTCAAATTAGAATTAAAGTAAAGCAAAGCGCAATTTCCGAGGATGATTAAACTGTTGTCAATCTAATCTAATCATAAACAACTATTTAAAACCCTTTCATCTACTGTTACAGTTATAATGTCGGTGATATATGGCTAGAAACAACTGAACGCACAGGCATTATGTAAAACATGGGTTCCCAATTAAATAACTGGAAAAAGATACAACTACGTAGGTAATGTTTATAGAAACGACTAAGTCATATTTTAGTATGCACCCTATCTTTTGAAATTATTTTACAGTTTTTTTGCAAGCCAAAGAGCATTAAGGAAGGCCTTTTGCTTGGGTTATCTAGAACCAGAATGCCGAATAAATGTGACCTTTTATTTGGTATTTATGCAATATTTTATAAGTCCAATTTATAAGTCCTGTAAAGAACAGCCGTCATTCTAAACCATTAGTTACCGTGAAATTGTTGTCTCACCTATAATTAGTAGTAACCTTGATAGCCACGAGACTGAGCCGTTTTGTTTGATTTGCTCTGGGCATCATTCAGACCTCGTCATAATTTGGGAATCGCGATGAATTCTTTAGTTACAAAGGGTGACGCTTGACTGAACCGACTATCCTTTTATTGACCGTAAAAATGGGGAAATATGAGGTTCAGAAAATATCGGGAAAATTCAGTATCTTACATCTCCGTTTTCCATCGTACCTTTGTAATTAAAGTTCTCATACTCAGATACACCGAAAGTCAGGGATGGAGGTGGTTCGAAGGTATATTTGCTAGATATCCAATGTGTCTCGAACTATATGATCTAGGCTCATTAGTTTTTGCGAGGTATGTATGGCATGGCCTACCAAATGGTGATGTGAGCCAAATGTTTGGCCAAGCATTTTTGTGATGTTTTCCATAAATAAACGAGTTCAGCATCGATATCAAAGACCTAGACAACTACCTATTTTTGGATTAATTTACCGCTACATTTATAAGTGTTAGGTCTAAACTGTAGGAACCGACTTGAGATATTCGTGCCTGTTTGTAGAGAAGAGGAAGTAACAAACCCTTAACATACTTTGTCCCGGTAAGCATAAATAATTCTTCAACAACATTTCTTAATCACTTACCGGGATATCCCTACTCCATTCTGTCAATGAAGCAAGCCATTAACTTTAAGCAATGACAGATAAGGATATTTAGGTCTTCCTAGAGCTAAGCCTTATACAGCTTGTTTTAAAGGTATAGATCTACATCTTGCGCATCAAGGGGAATAAAAGAAATATTATCATGATATATCGCATATTTTTCAACTCACTCTATTCCAATAAGCTTTTCTAATTTAAGGTTCGAAGCAACCTTTGAAATGGCGTCATCTAAATCTAAAAACTATGTTTTGTGATATGTCTGAAGGTTTTCCGATCGCTTTCCAAGGATTGTAGTCACACCATCGCTTGAAACATTGAAAAACCATTTTGTCCTCTATTTCCTCGCTGACGATTCTTAGGAATTATTTGAGATACCCTTGCTGATATTTTCGAACATATTGGCAAGGTAACCTCACTGATCAAGCCAAAGAGGAATGCAACAACGCCCAAAAATAACAGTGTATTTACGTATAAACGGTTGAACCAGAATGCATCAGTTCAGCTTGTCAGATGTTCTGCATTATCTTTTACCACGGTAAAACCCATCAGTTTGACTGGAAATCAGACTGAAAACCGAGCGAATCGTAACTGTTTTGTTATCTGCTATTTGATGGATACACTGATTTGTATGACGTTGTTTCTGACGACATACTGA